GTAATGTGAACAGTTAATCAATATTGAATACATATTTTAACATTTAAACCTGTCCCAAATGGCTGTAGAAGACACCTACGGAACGTAGAAGTTCAAGGAATTTGGGGTGGTGTAGTGTACGTGTGTTTTGTTAATATTTATTGGGCCCACAAGTTAATGTTAGGACCTGCAACTTTCATGAATGGTGCCTACCAGCGGATCCTGTTGGCTTACAACTTTTCTTGCCGAATTTTAAACACTGATTGAGTCCCTCTACCATTGTGTGCAGTCCAAACGATTCGAAGAGTACAGGAGTAAAAAGATGTGGTCATTACAAAACGTATCATAAAGGTCAAACATGATTCAAACGCGATTTGTAAATGACTATCCGTTATCAGAGCAGCCAACTGTATCTCGTTTTCAAGTAGCCATCATACCAGGCCTTTCTTTCTGCATGGATTACTCTGAAATAGACTGTACAAATGAAGTACAAAAAAAAATCTCAATATACATTAGAATTAACAGTACAAATAAATTTTGTTGCTAAATGGAATAACAGATTGAGAAGGATCATCTAACTATCTTTGTGTATTGATAAAAGTGTAGTGTCGTTTATATCTGTCATTAATGTATCCGACTAAAGCTGCAGACATGGGGTCATAAATTAATTAAGAATGCCGATTAGGTAATTATATTTTTTTTACGCCGGCCAGATCAAAGACATCACTCTAGGTGGAACGTGTGCGTAATACCTCACGAACGAACTAATCGTACACACGTTAATTGTTTAATATAATTAAGTTTTAGTCATCAGTTGTTTATAATTATTATTTACCAATTAATCAATTAGCTTTTCTTACCAATGTTTTTGTAATAAAGTAGCCTCATATTATTTGTTGACTTAATTGACTTGATATGAAATCTGAATATAAATTATTCGATGGATAAACCTTTGTGATAAGATAAGGTTATAATGTCTAACATTGTTTCACTTTTTTATATGCCCACATTTTCATGTGGACGTATATTGTCGTCACCCCTGTCCAACCGTCCACAATTTGTTTGTGGACACTCTACAGGTCACAAGTCTTATCCAATTTTGACGAAACTTGAAATATAGGTTTATCTCCAAACGATTTCGGTTCCTTTCGATATTGGCATGTATCCGATTGAAACTTCATGGATTATGGCCACTGTTTGTATGAAAAATCACGTTTTTAGCTTGTGGACACTATAGAGGTCACAATTTTAATCCGATTTTCTTGAAACTTGAAATGTAAGTTGATAATCTAAAAATCTCAGTTCCTTTCGATATTCGCGCATTTGGGTTATAAACATGCTTTTCAAGTTTCATCAATATCGGATTAAAATTGTGACCCATACAGGGTCCACAACCTTGATTTACCCTATTTTTACACTATTCGTGTACAAACGGCTGCCATTTTGTCCAGCAATTTTGGTCCGATTTTCCCCAAATTCGAACTCAACCTTCCTTAGGGTGTAACGGTGATATAATAATAAAAATTATGACCTCTATAGGGTCCCCAAGCTAAAAACACTATTTTTCGTATAATCAGGGGCCATTTTTTCTAGCAATTTTGGTCCGATTCTCACGAAATTCGAACTCAACTTTCATTACGGTGTAACGGTGATATAATCAAACGTTTTTTTAAATCGGATAATAATTGTGACCTCCAGAGGGACCACAAGCTAAAAAAGGCGATTTTGCGTACAATCGGGGGCCATAATTCAGGAAGTTACGATCCGATATGCGACAATATCGAAAGGAACCAAGATCTTTAGGTTATAAACATGCTTTTCAAGTTTCATCAAAATCGAATTAAAATTGTGACCCATACAGGGTCCACAACCTGGATTTAACCTATTTTTACACTATTCGCGTGCAAACGGCTGCCATTTTGTCTGGCAATTTTGGTCCGATTTTCCCCAAATTCGATTTTGCGTACAATCAGGGGCCATAATTCAGGAAGTTACGATCCGATATGCGACAATATCGAAAGGAACCAAGATCTTTAGGTTATAAACATGCTTTTCAAGTTTCACCAAAATCGAATTAAAATTGTGACCCATACAGGGTCCACAACCTGGATTTAACCTATTTTTACACTATTCGCGTGCAAACGGCTGCCATTTTGTCTGGCAATTTTGGTCCGATTTTCCCCAAATTCGAACTCAACCTTCCTCAGGGTGTAGCGGTGATATAATAATAAAAATAATGACCTCTATAGGGTCCACAAGCTAAAAACATGATTTTTCGTATAATCAGGGGCCATAATTCAGGAAGTTACAATCCGATATGCGACAATATCGAAAGGAACCAAGATCTTTAGGTTACAAATGTGCATTTCAAGTTTCATCAAAATCGAATTAAAATTGTGACCCACAGGGTCCACAACCTTGATTTACCCTATTTTTACACTATTCATGTACAAACGGCGGCCATTTTGTCCCAAATTCGAACTCAACCTCCCTTAGGGTGTAACGGTGATATAATAATACGGTTTTTTAAATCGGATAAAAATTATGACCTATATTAGGTCCACAAGCTAAAAATGCGATTTTTCGTATAATCAGGGGCCATAATTCAGGAAGTTACGGTCCGATATGCGCGAATATCGAAAGGAGCTGAGATCTTTAGGTTATAAACTTACATTTCAAGTTTCAACAAAATTGGATAACCAGCGGCTGCCAGGCAGGATACGCCCACATTTTCGAGAGATGGATAGAGAACAAGCTAAAAAGAAAGTGATTTTTCCTACAATCAAGGGCCATAATTCAAGAAATTACAAGTCGATACGCGCAAATATCGAAAGGAACCGAGATCTTTGTGTTATAAACTTACATTTCAAATTTCAACAAAATTGGATAACCAGCGGCTGCCAGGCAGGATACGCCCACATTTTCGAGAGATGGATAGAGAACAAGCTTTTAAAAAGAAAGTGATTTTTCGTACAATCAGGGGCCATAATTCAGGAAGTTACTCTCCGATACGTGCAAATATCGAAAGGAACCGAGATCTTTTGGTTATAAACTTACATTTCAAGTTTCATCACAATCGGATAAAAATTGTGACCTCTATAGGGTCCACAACCTTGATATACCATATTTTTTATGCTATTTGAGAACGAAGGGCCGCAATTTTATCTGTCGGTTTTGGGCCGATTTTCAAGAAATTCGAACTCAGCCGTCCTTAGGGTGTAGCGGTCATATAATAATACGTTTTTTTAAATCGGATAAAAATTATGACCTCTATAGGGTCCACAAGCTAAAAACGCAATTTTTCGTAGAATCAGGGGCCATAATTCAGGAAGTTACGGTCCGATATGCGCGAATATCAAAAGGAACCATGATCTTTGGGTTATAACTTACATTTCAAGTTTCAACAAAATCGGATAAAAATTGTGACCTCTATAGTGTCCACAAGCTAAAAACGTGATTTTTCGTACAATCAGGGGCCATAATCCATGAAGTTTTGGTCTGATACATGCCAATATCGAAAGCAACCAAGATCTTTTGGAGATGCAGATTAACCTACACACCACACATCTACAGGGATCACATCCTAAAAACGCAACTTTTCGTACAATCAAGGGCCATAATACAGGAAGTTACGATCCAATATGTGCGAATATCGAAAGGAACCAAGATCTTTGGGACATAAATACATGTATGTATTTCAAGTTTCATCAAAATCAAATCAAATCAAAATTGTGGCCTCTAGAGTATCCACAACCTTGATATACCATATATTTACACCATTTGCGTGCAAGAGGCGGCCATTTTGTTCGGCAGTTTTGGTCCAATTTCCACGAAATTCGAATTTAGCCATCATAATGGTGTAACGGTGATATATTTGAACGTTTTTTTAAATCCATTAATAATTGTGACCTCTAGAGGGACCACAAACTAAAAAGATAGGTTGCCAGGCAACAAAACATACGCCCACAGCAGCTAAGTCGTCTGAGCAGTCGACAAGGGTTGTCACATATTTATTCTTTTGTAGGTGATTAGGGGAATTTTATAGACAATTTCATACAGATGACATTATAATTTTCGTCGTTTCAGGGTTCACAAAGTTCTAAAAATCTACAGAAATTGTTGAAATTCGACAGGCTTGTGTTACTAATTCAAATAATGCATATAAATTTCATACAAATAGGATGATAACTTTTGTCGTTCGAACGTTCACCAAAGTAAAACAAGGGCCATAACTCTAGAAGTAATTGACGGAAATTGCTGACATTCAATAGGCTTCTTCATTTCACTAATTTAAATGATGCATATGAATTTCAAACAGATTGGATGATAACTGTTGTCATTAGAGTGTTCACAAGATTCAACAAAGTGAAACAAGGGCCATAACTCTAGATGTAATCAACAGAGCTTGCTGAAATTCAATAGGCTTCTTTGTTTTACTAATTTAAATGATGCATATAAATTTCATACAGATCGGTTGATAACTTTTGTCGTTAAGAGCGTTCACAAGGTGCAACAAAGTGAAACAAGGGCCATAAATCCAGAAGAAATGACCTCTATAGGGTCCACAAGCTAAAAACGCGATTTGTTCGTACAAATAATCCATGAAGTTACAGTCCTATACATGCCAATATCGAAAGGAACCGAGATCTTAGGGTCATAAACCTATATTTCAAGTTACGTTGAAATCAGATAAAAAATGTGACCTCTATAGTGTTCACAAACAATTGTGGACTTGTGGACAGACAGGGGCGACGACAATATACATCCACATGAAAATGTGGGTGTATAAAAATTGAAAAGTGTTTTGGCATGTCGGATTCATTTTAATCAGATTGGTGTGAACTTGCCGTAAAGTGGATATAGTAACCATTGGATATAGTAACCATTGGCTATACGTACATGAAATTTAGATTTTTTGTCTTATGTGGTCTTCACAACAAATCAGATGGATATCTCAAGACGAATAGTGTTAAAGCTTAAATGATCATGTTTCTTCTTCTGAAAGATTGTAGCTTACTTACCCTCATACAAACATTAAAATGATTGTCACCTTCATCATCCGTTTTACTTTTAAACATATCTTTACTACAGTCAACCATGAATATCAATCCATCACTATTTCCCCACCTTAACTAAAAGTTCAAAATACTTCATTTTCAGAAAGATAGGTAGCTAGGTAATGAAACATATGCGCCCAGCAGCTAAGTCAACTGCGCAGTCCACAATGATTGACACACATTTTTCTTTTGTTCATAATGAAAGAATTTACAAGACACTAAAAAAGTTATAAGAAGTCTTGTTTCTCACGTGACTTCACTGCCGGCAACTGGGAGCAACTGAGAGGATTGTGTCGATGGACGCGTGCTTGTGACTGGAAAACCACCAGCTGCAACCAGTTAGCCGTGTTCTACTTTTCCGGCAACTAGTTGTACTCAGTTTCTCTAAAATGGTCGATCTACGCCCAAACGGTAACTGATCGTATCCAATTTGCACAACCAAACCATCGATATTTTTGCAAAAATACAGCTTAATTCTCCTAGAGCTAAAACTGTAGATTCAGATAAAAAAAACCCCCAAAAAACAGACTCACCACAAGTAATGGTAATTTTGATAACCCGGTAAAAAAACAAAACAAGCTTGCAGATTATTTATACCGGGTCCAGTAAGTTGCCTTGAGGAAATAGGCCACGTGCCAATCAAAGGAAGTATGATATGATCTCGGAATGGATTGTGCATCTATCGCGTGCCTTTGACGGTCAGTATGAATTCCAGGTGTACTGGTAGAAATTAAACTAATAATTGGATCATAATTTAATGCTTTCACTGACCAGTTGTTAGTTAAATTTAAATCTTAGTTGAATATAATCCTCGGATAGAACACCGAATACACTGAGAAATAGTCATTAATAATATATTATGAATCTCCAATGCCGAATGACACATGACATCGGTTATTATTATTGAAAGCTGTATGGCATAGTTGTATGGAATTTAATTTTAAAGCCATTTCAATTATGGTTGTCACGTGATCATTGTGCCATGTGTCTATCATGGACGAATGAATAAAAACATTTGCAAGTTATAATTATGTGATAGAAAAAAAACCCTTACAAATTGTGTTATAAAGAAATACATGTACCATGGTGCCGTATCAACTTATATCCATCGAAAAAAAACCCAACCGAATACAGTAATTTATTCAGGAATATTACTGACATGAACTTTAAGCCGGTACGTGAATTATGGAAAATTTTCTGTATGGTGTACCTGTTTGTCGTTATATTTGTGGTAATTACATACAGTAGAATACGATATTCCTCATAACAAATTACCAAGAATTATTTTTGTTGAAGTCTGGTTATATTAAAGGGAATGGAAACTTAAAATTTTAAAACCCAGTTCCTACCAGGACCTCATTTGACCCAATTCGTTTCAAAATGGATTAAGAACTCTGGCAGTAATTATCGGAAGAGATCAAGGGCTATAACTCAGGCAGTAATTTGTCTCATGACCTTAAAGACTGTGTATAAATTTAAAGTCAATCGGATATTAACTTTAGCCTCTAGAGCGTCAACAAGATATTTCAAAGAGATCAAAATCATAACTATTGCAGTAACTATTTAGACGGAGAGATATAATTTCTGTTTGTCAAGTACCGAGAACAAATTGCAAAAGAATTTCTTTCACTGGAATCTAGTAAAGGGATGTCTTAAGGACTCCCAACTCAAAATTGTCCGCTGAAACCCTGTAGCGTTTTTCATAATTAGCATAAATCCAAGATGGCCACCAATTGGACTTTCTGGCCTCCATATCTTGGAAACGGCTCGTTTTAGAGCAATAAATGTATTATCATTAGATACAAAAGTGATATCAACGAATCGGAAAAAAATATTATCGTGACGATAAATGTCATGGTGTGAGTTCATGACGGTAATGTGATGTAATGACGTCACATTGACGTTAAAACACTTAGCCCGGCAGAACTATGGCTGAACCTGGAAGTTGTACACAAAGATTTTTTTATGATTGATTTAATAGCCTATGGTGTCCTCTTTAAGAATCTGCCGATTGAACCTGGGTCACCCTGGAGCATTTTGAGAAATTCAAGATGGCGTCCAAGATGGCCGTCATTTCAAATAATCACCTATAACCCCCATACTATTTTGTCTAGGATGATAATTTTGGTGTCTAACCGTATGTTTTTGGGGCCAAGGAATACACCAAAATCATCCATTATGCTGTGGGGTGATTAGATGATAGCAGACAATATGTCCCTTTAACGCGGTTTGGACAATAATTATTTCACGAACCAAACTATATATTTATGGACATAGCAGCATATGATTGATACGATAACACTACATACATGCCTAACAGGGGGTCCAGGGCCACATGGGCACGGCCCTGAAAAGAAGGGCACAATCTGTGTTTTGATCATGTAAAAAAGCAAATTCTACCCGCAAAATACGAAAATACCCCCACAAAACTAGGTAATATTCAGTTTAATCCTTTAGTCGTGTGTCTGGTTGCAACCTGCGACTTCACAGGTGCAAAATACTATACATTCTAAGCCTACTATTTGGATCGTCACTCGTGCATCCGCATTTGATGAGCTACAGGAGCAATTTGACCGATTGTAATGTTCTCAATTTAGTCACCTTAACCCAGCAATACAGTTCTGGATCAAGTTCTGGTGGATTGCGATCTTCCAGTGAACGCCACACAATAGCATGGTGGTGACATCGTTTTACTTTCCATACGAATGCATCATTCGTTGGAGCAAGACTACATGGTTTAAATGTGGATGATGATGATATATTTCCAGTTTCGGATGCCTATACGATAACACTACATACATGCCTAACAGGGGGTCCAGGGCCACATGGGCACGGCCCTGAAAAGAAGGGCACAATCTGTGTTTTGATCATTTAAAAAAGCAAATTCTACCCGCAAAATACGAAAATACCCCCACAAAACTAGGTAATATTCAGTTTAATCCTTTAGTCGTGTGTCTGGTTGCAACCTGCTACTTCACAGGTGCAAAATACTATACATTCTTTCTAAGCCTACTATTTGGGTCGTCACTCATGCATCCGCATTTGATGAGCTACAGGAGCAAATTGACCGATTGTAATGTTCTCAATTTAGTCACCTTAACCCAGCAATACAGTTCTGGATTAAGTTCTGGTGGATTGCGATCTTCCAGTGAACGCCACACAATAGCATGGTGGTGACATCATTTTACTTTCCATACGAATGCATCATTCGTTGGAGCAAGACTACATGGTTTAAATGTGGATGATGATGATATATTTCCAGTTTCGGATGCCTATACCCTCCAGCGTCACAATGGAATCACCAATCAAAGAAGAAACAACCGTTGACATTGGAATCACCAATCAAAGAAGAAACAACCGTTGACATGTCAATTATCATTGGAATCTTGTCAGCCCATACTCTGACACGGTTGCATGCTGCTACAGCTGTGGAAGTGGCGAGAGCTTGATTGTATTCTCTCTCTCACTCGTCGGAGTAGTAGAATCGGTGCTTACACAGGCCACTGTACATGTATTTTTGTCAGCTTGTTATGGACAGACTTCTAGCAAATCGATGCCTGAAACATGCTGGTGAGTAGTGCTCCTACGGTTAGGACTTTTTATTATTTGAATAGCCGTAGCTATTAACTGGTCAGTAACCGTTAACCGTATGGTATCAATTTTAAACGTAAAACAGAGCTTGTCAGGAGGTGCGAGTCATTACTCGTGCGTACGCTATACTCGCCTAGCTAAAAGGCATTACAGGAATTTTTTCAGACATGTACAATTCTTTAATGAGAATCTAAACTACCTTAGGCCGTAGTTATTTATTTACCTGGTTAACTTGGTTCATTTGAAACATTTTTTAATTCTATATAACGATAATATACAAAACAATACTCTGTTTCCCTTCGTACGTGACAGATGGCGATAATATTATGATTACACAATGTTACTAAGAATAGAATAAAGTAAATTGGAAGGCGTCTATTGATTGGACAATAAAGAAATAATTCCTCGCTTGCAAGTAGAATTTTTATGATTGGTTAATTTAACTAAAAACCAAAGTAGAATTCTTGCGAGAAATTACGAGATATGAAACGTGTTGAATGTCGTAACGAATCTAGTATAATGTCATTTTCTAGCCTTTATGATTATATTTTGAATGGTGGTTACGTTTTGAAGTAAATAATAAACAAGGTAGAATATAGTTAGAAATGCCGAGAAGTATTTAGATTGGATTAACAAAAGCTAAAGTCAGAACAAGGTCTGTTGACTTTGCTGTATGACTACGACGAGTGCTATTAATAGTATTATTTTGGATGTCAGCTGTTTCGTAACCTGGCTGTTTCGTACTTAGTTCATTCGTACCTCACATGAGCCGTTTCGTACTTCACTTCGTACCTCAAATTGATTCATACCTTTTCCTATGCTGTTGAAATCAGTTAAAAGAAATTGAAATAAAGGTGAAACGATTTGATCAACACAGCCTGCCCAATAGTAGTAATTCACACACAATTAAAGCCAAAGGACACATTTATACTAAAATTGCTTCAGCATTTCACTAAATTTACATCGGTTACGATCGAAAGCCATTTTCATGCAGTTGGGTTTCAATAACAGAATTACCCTGTGATATGACCGTATATACGGTCCATGATATAAAAGAATGGGTTCAATAATCAACCCCGGATTAAATACTTTTTCATTGGTTTTTCAACTGCTTTAACAATCACCAATCAACTGTCGTCAATAATCACAACTCAATGAGCAGAATGGGTTCAATAATCAACATCAGATTTAAAGGAAGGCAGGTATAATCGTTTATTTCAATTTTTTTCAACAACATATAGATTTATTTTAATTTCGTTCAATTCATTTCAACAACAATTTGAGGTACAAATCATGTGTTTATTCTAATTCTAGTTCGGCAGCAATTTTTATAAATTTAGCGCAGCCTTTGGATTTAGGAGAAGGAACTAATCAATTTGAGGTACAAATCTCGTGCATATTCTAATTCTGGTTCGGCATATTCAATTTCTTTCAACTGATTTCAACAACATAGGAAAAGGTAAGAATCAATTTGAGGTACGAAG